TTACCACCGATGGTTTGTGCACCCCAACCTACTAGCCCACATTTACCACCGATGGTTTGTGCACCCCAACCTACTAGCCTACATTTACCACCGATGGTTTGTGCAAGCGAAGTGGTGGGGCGGGGTCTTTTTTTTTTAAAATCACCATTTTCTTATTTCCCTGTGACTCATTACCCCAACCCCCCCCCTTCCCCCCCAACATTTCACATTTCACATTTCGCTCATAATGATAATAAAGTTTATTTGAAAACTACAAACGAGCAAACAAACCCATTCAAAGTCTTTCATCCCTTTCAATTATAAACAACACAAGCCAATATACACCTAGGAGATAATAGCTAAGCTGGAAAAGGTGGTAGACAACATCACCCCAGAAAATAACCGTGAAACTATATTGAATGTAGGGCAGTGTACACTTAAACAAATATGGAGAGGTAGATTGGATTGGAGAGTTAGATTGGATTGGAGAGTTAGATTGGTTTGGAGAGTTAGATTGGATTGGAGAGTTAGATTGGATTGGATAGTTAGATTGGATTGGAGAGTTAGATTGGTTTGGAGAGTTAGATTGGATTGGAGAGTTAGATTGGATTGGAGAGTTAGATTGGATTGGAGAGTTAGATTGGATTGGAGAGTTAGATTGGATTGGAGAGTTAGTTTGGATTGGAGAGTTAGATTGGATTGGAGAGTTAGATTGGATTGGAGAGTTAGATTGGATTGGAGAGGTAGATTGGATTGGAGAGTTAGATTGGATTGGAGAGTTAGATTGGATTGGAGAGTTAGATTGGATTGGAGAGTTAGATTGGATTGGAGAGGTAGATTGGATTCAAGAGTTATAGTGGGTTGTAGCCTGTAGCATCCGGTTAGGAAAAAATTTGGCTGCAAATGTAGTCGACCTCCTCCTGTTTTTTTTTTGGAGTAAGTTCTCATTGCTAATTTCTGGGTTTAAAATATAATATTGTTGTTTGTAGGGGCATTTTTCATATATTTTTTTTTAAATTGCTGTTTTGTGGTTAACTTGCATTGTCACTTCTTCTTCTTCTTTATTTTAAGGGCCCACGATCAATGAATTGATCATTCTGGCTCCTATGTTTCAGAGGGGTTTGCGATGTTACTGTCCATGGGTTTCAATGGGATACTTCACTGGTTGCAGGGGCGACTCAGCAGTGGTGTTATGAACTGGGGGTTGGAATACAGGAGGCAATAGACACAAATGTGTCTAGTGTAGCTGCCTCAACTGTTGATTTTGGAAGCTTGTTCGAGTCCCATATTGTCTTCGGCAGGAATGAGGAGCTTCTGTACTTTGTTCTTGTTTTTACCAGCCGGAACTGTTTGTCGTGGCTTCGTCGCAGTCTAGGGGGAAGATGAACGAGTTTCTGTTTCATTCCAGAGCAGTGCACCAGCCCATTTGTTATCTTGTACAACATGGTGAGCCTGGATAGTCGTCGTCGTTCTTCCAATGTAGACCAGCCCAGTGTTTCCAGCATGCTGCCAACACTCGAGGTGCTTCTGTAGCGGTTCATGACAAAGCGTGCTGCCCGTCGCTGGACCGCCTCCAAGCTGTCTATGCTTTTCTGGGTAAATGGGTCCCAGACTGTAGAAGCGTACTCTAAAATAGGTCGGACAAAGGCTTTATAGGCTTTTTCTTTCACGCTTGAGTTGCCGATCTTCAGATTGTGCCTTAGGAACCCCGGTTGCACACACTGTTAATGTGCTCACTAGGTGTGCTCACATAAAGTCGATTTGTAAATATCTCATAATAAAGGTATTTATCATTTATCATACCCATCTTTCATTGGTCCCTGAGCATGCTATAACCAAGTTCACAATACCATGAGAATCTATGCTTTTCTGTGATTTGATATCATGCGTGGGCCCTTAATATATAGAACAAGAACTCAGACACACAAACAAGAATAAAACATAAGCCAATACTTCTTCTTATTGTATAACTCTTTATTGATCTCACCCAGTTATTAAGATGTTCCACAATTGCTGGTGCATCTGGCTTCTTAATAGTAGTTGTTGCCCTTGCCTGTTAGTGGGATAAAAGTCAACATTAAAATGAAGGTAAACATTAAAATGAAGGTAACCATTAAAATGAAGGTAAACATTAAAATGAAGGTAAACATTAAAATGAAGGTAAACATTAAATTTAAGTGACGGAATGTATTGACGGCCATTTTATTTCAATGCAAATTATCAAAACAACATTTTATTTCTAAAACTTTCAGCTTCCTAACAATTTTTTTCATTTCATTTACTCCCCTTAGCTTTTAAATTAATGAACAAATCTTATCTTAAAACATGGTTTACTTTTCAATCCCAGTTGTTACATATATTCGTATCCAATGAGCAAACTTAAGTGAAACCCAATTAGCTCATTTAGATTTAGACCAAATCCAAGTCTTGTATTTTACCAATTTTAACAACAGACATTTCAAGGAAATCAACCAATGAAATTTTTAGACAATTTTGCACATAATAAAGTTTTAGAAACAAATAAAAAGACAAAGACATTGACATAAAATTGTAACTACTCGTGATAACAAAATTGCCTTGTTGAGTTAAGGTATTTTGATTAAATAAATTATTGTAACAGAGGTAAAACTTCTCGTAACTTACCGTAACCTCCAACAGGGATGACAACAGCTTTGCCGACGCCTCCTCCATAACCGTAACCACCTCCATGGCCCCATCCACCACCAAGACCCCAGCCTCCTCCGAGTCCACCGAAGCCTCCTCCGAGTCCACCGAAGCCTCCGAGTCCACCGTAGCCTCCTCCGTATCCACCACGTCCACCGAGACCGAGTCCAATCAGGCCGACACCACCGAATCCACCACCGTAACCACCACCGTAGCCACCACCGTATCCTCCACCGTATCCACCATATCCACCGCCATATCCGTATCCACCTCCGTATCCGGTGGCGCTAGCGAGAGCGACCAGGCAAAGAACGGCGAGCACAGTTTTGTACATTGTCTGGGTAAGAAAATGGCAATTTTCATTTTACGAAATGGTGCATCATAAGAATTTAAATTGAATTATATTGACCGCTTAATCAGTTATTTTAATGGCCTGTATGAAATAAATTATTTAGCCCAAGACATCTCTAGCAGGTGGTTGATGTGTATCGGTTTTGATTATTCTATGAAAATTTGAAGAAAAAAAAATAGTACAATATTATATCTATTTGTCATGGGCTTTTGATTTTGTTCACTAACCATTGTCTATAGGCCTTTCTTTAAGAATTTAAAGTGACTTAAACTAGAATAAAAAGCAATGATCTTGCGCACTTAGTAAAGACAAGTTGATGAAATTTATAAACAAAAATCTTTCTGTAATTTTGATTTCAACGATAAAATGGAAATATGTTTAATGGTTGATTCCAAATTATGGAGAATTAGTTCGTAAGGTTTTATATGAACTTATGATGATTGGTATCTGAATGTGGTAAGTGACGCATTAGAATTTTTATGTTTTCACTTACCGAAATGTTTAAGACTACGGTTTGAATTCCGTGACAAGTGGACGGACAGTGGACTAGAGTTGTGTGAATGGACAGGTCCGTGAAGAATTATATACAGGCCCGGGCTGTTACAGGACACTGACGTTAGAAACACACACGGGGGTGGGTGGGGAAGAGACAGAGATTGACATGTCAGTAATCTCACCGCAGACCAGATCTGAAGGAATTAAAACGTCAGCTCATTGAGCAGTTCTAGCAGTCAAAGCAGTAACAGGCAGGTAATTAATGTTTCAACACGTAAAGCAATCTAAGCAGTAAAAGATAGGTCATTAATGTCACAAAGCTCAAAGGATTGTCTTGTCAAAGATTTAAAAAATGAATTGATGCGAAGATGAGTTTCATCGTGGCTTAAAGCAAACTTTAAAAAACAAAACCAATTTTTAAAAAAAACCCAGTAAATATACATATTTGGTTTTATAAAGAAAGTGTATTTTGAATTTCGTATCAATTTATCGGTTAGTGCTTTTTCAGTGAGGAAAAAAAAAATGAGGTCGATAAGCAATATCTCAAATTCAGATACACGAAGTGGAAAAATTATACGAATATCAAAATAACATTTTTTAACACGAAAGAAGAACAAAACATGGATAGATTCATCCGATGTTTTCCCATTCCATGGAGTTCCCAATCCATGGTATTCCCATTTCAGGTCGTTCCCGTGTATTATATTTGCGCATCAACACATCCTTGTCTGTTTCTCTTTGAGTCTCGTGTGAATCAATACAATTGAAAAATCAGTTTTAATGCCGCTAAATGGTCTCTTTAAAACCTTCAATTTTTATAACTAATTTTATCGTACCCTTAAATTACTCATGCACCACATCCAAAGGGCATGTACGTCATGATGTCTGATGGACACCGTGACTTGTAAGTAAGAGTTGGAGATCAACGAAAAAAAAAATATTCAAGGGGAGAGAAGGGTTGTCATTTTCGGAATTATTTCCCTTATTGAGATAGCTTACTTCAAACATTTGAAATGTTAGTTACTACAGACCAGCTCTTCAGTGGGATTACAGTCATGTCATTTATCGCTTCTACCCATAAGAGTGTCTTAACTTCCTAATCCATCATAAGTCTGGGCCGTATATATAGCTCGGGACAGACCAGTACATTCACACAACTCCAGCCTACTGCCCGAGCACTTGTCAAACCGTAGTCTTTACAAATCGGTAAGTGGTCACATTCATTTCTCGTGTGCTCTTGGTCGCGTTTTTATTTATAAAAAATATAAATATAAAGACAACTTAGAAAGAGACACACCACCATCTTAGAATATTAGGGATTAAAATCTATTGATTAAAATCAGATTATTATTGAGAGGAATGTTAATGAAAGATACTTTTTTGAACTAAGACCTTCTTCCTCCATGTGCGGATTATCTTCTCTTCTGTGAGTAAGGGCCCCTTGTTTCATTTAGTTCTCAAAGTCAAATGTATTGACTGTGGATATTTGACCATTTCATTTCCCTTCTCAGACAATGTACAAAACTGTGCTCGCCGTACTTTGCCTGGTCGCTCTCGCTAGCGCCACCGGATACGGAGGTGGATATGGATATGGTGGCGGATATGGTGGATACGGCGGAGGTTACGGCGGTGGATACGGCGGTGGATACGGTGGTGGATTCGGCGGTGTCGGCCTGATTGGACTCGGTCTCGGCGGACGTGGTGGATACGGAGGAGGCTATGGCGGATTCGGAGGCTTCGGTGGACTCGGCGGAGGCTTCGGTGGACTCGGAGGAGGTTGGGGTCTCGGTGGTGGATGGGGCCATGGCGGCGGTTACGGTTATGGAGGAGGCGTCGGCAAAGCTGTTGTCATCCCTGTTGGAGGTTACGGTATGTTACCAGTGTTCTTAGGCCTGACATTATATTTGATAGATTAAAAAAATATCTCAATTTTAACACAGACCTTAGACCTCACGAAATATTTTAATTTCCTATCATGTATATTTATTCCAAAAGTCGTATAAATGTTGTGTACAAAGTTTTTACGGGAAATCCTAAAAAAATTGTTTTGAAAATATCAAATAGTTATCACATTGTGTTCAAGCTGTCCACCTAAGTTTTTTAAATCCTTAAATGACAGATGTACTCAATTAAAAGTATAACAAAAATATTTTGAAAGATTACCTCATACAGCTTTATAAATGTAGCCTTAGAAATCGTTTAAAAAAGACTTTGAATAATTCTCCTTCAGATTTTTTATATGTGCCTAAATTTAATGTTATCTGTGTGTCATGTTGATATTAATGTGTATGTGTTTTTCCCCAACAGGCAAGGGCAACAACTACTATTAAGAAGCCAATCGTGGCAGCCATCTTGGAAAATACTAAAAAATAAATTTGTTTTATTGAATTATTTTTATGAGCTGAAAAAATGTATAGAAAATAAAATAAATATATAATCTTTTTTTTTAAATATCTATTTGAGTTCATGTATGAAATAAATGCATCGATGATTTTCGAGGACATAAATTATCGCCATGGTCGTAACTGAAGACACGACTGAAGACACCCGATGCCCCAAAGACATAAACAACACAATCCTACCAGAATATTTAAGTTTTAAGACATACGCAATTGTGAAAACCGGAAAACAGTTAATATCCCTTTCAACAGTTGTACAATGTACAAAGCTTAGTCATCGGATACACACAACTTAACAACGTACACAGCTTAAGCAAGGGAGATAAACGGATGTACAGTGTACAAAGCTTAGTCATTTGATACACACAACTTAACAACGTACACACAGCTTAGGCAAGGGAGATAAACTGATTTACAGTGTACAAAGCTTAGTCATTGGATACACACAACTTAACAACGTACACATCTTAAGCAAGGGAGATAAACTGATGTACAGTGTACAAAGCTTTGTCATTGGATACACACAACTTAACAACGTACACAGCTGAAGCAAGGGAGATAAACTGATGTACAGTGTACAAAGCTTAGTCATTGGATACACACAACTTAACAACGTACACAGCTTAGGCAAGGGAGATAAACTGATGTACAGTGTACAAAGCTTTGTCATTGGATACTCACAACTTAACAACGTACACACCTTAGGCAAGGGAGATAAACTGATGTACAGTGTACGAAGCGTTTTTCCTTGGATACAAACAGTGTACAATGTACAACGATATATAAAGTAAAAGATACAAGGAGTCAACAACTACTAAGTAAGCGGCAAATTTAATAAAGATAACGAAGTAAACACAATGTTTAGATTACTGAGGAAGTCTTATAAATGCCAGCTATACTGTATTAGTGGATTGGGTTACTCCAGTTTCAGCAACATGTCCTGGTCAGTGACTTTAGGCCAACCGGTCTGGTCAATGAGTTTCTTGCTTGTCCATCACAAACACGTCATAAAAATAATCTATTTCATAGACGCTTAGATCTCTCGTTGATCCTATGAGTGCCAATTCGATTTTTTGACGGAAAGGGGAAGATCACCAGTGAAAAAAAAATGTTAAATCTTTTTTATTATCTTTGCTTCCTGTCAAAATATCGAGCTGAAATTTGGCATACAGACTCGATGCTGATGACAACACATTCTATCAAATTTTCAGCCCCACCCCCAACTCCAACCTCCAAAAATTAGTTGTTCCTCTTTTTCCAAGGGGAAGAGGAAAAAAATATGATGACACTTATTTCACGAAATAAAACTCCCGATAAATGCGATGAATGAGATTCTTTAAAACAAACTTAGAATAAATGAACCGATGTATCGGGATAATAATGATAGGCCCTTTGCGATAATTTCTACCAGCTTTTGCAAAAAACTCATCAAAATTCCTAACTTTAAAAAGAAGTATCTGTGTAATGATATTTACGTTTCTAACATCATTAAGTTTTGAGAAGTGTTTATCTGCTATAGATTATACGCCTACCCTAATCCCTTTCACGCCTTTAAACTACACTTTTCCCTTCTAAGCATGAACTCAAATTACCCAATCTAAATGATCACTAATTATATCACTGTTGTCACTAAAGAAGTCAATTGAGAGCCGATTTCTACGCTAGAGAACTAGTTTAGATTTACCCCCTTTCGTGCCCTTGAATTACACTTTTTTTCTCTAAAAATGGTTTTAAAAAATAATCTTAAATTTACAACAACAAAAAAAGCACTATATATATATGATATAAACATATTTTATATTAAAGGAATTTGATATAGTGATATCTTCTTAATAAATTTAAATAAAATTTAGCATTGTTTTTTTTTTAAAAATTATACATTATCAGAAAATCGTAGAGTAAAGAATTGTCTTATCTAAAGAAGAATCTCGCAACCGTATTTCACGTCTATAACAGACTTGGGTGTGTTTAAAAAAAAAATGTTAATCTCATAAAATTACACACCGACTTTACTTTTCAAAAATTAATAACAAAAATATATTTTATTTTTTAAAAGAAAATAGTAACCCCTCTCTAGTTTTCAAAAATAAAATTTTCAAGTGTATAAAATGATTGGGTTTTTGAGATTTATGGGCATACTAATATAAACAGAGCCACGTTTTTTAACGCCACTGACTTTTCTTATATGGTAAACATATGTTTATTTTTTAAAAAGAGATTGTAACATCTTTTTTCACAAATGTAATGCAATAGAATTTAAGTATATTGTCACCCACGTAAATATTTAGACATCCTTTTTCGTACCTCCGACATGTATGTAACCAAGGAGGTTAATTGATTATCAAATTTATTTCTTTACTTTGAGACGTATCTTGTGCTGCCTGAGGCAAAAATGATAACCCCCCCCCCCTCCTTCGAAATTTGAATCAAATTAATACAATTTTCCACCGGATTGTAGTCTCATCCATACCAAAACATTCCTTTATTTTGAGACGAATCTTGTGCTGCCAGGGAAAAAAAAGACCAAGCCCCCCCTCCCAAATTTAAATAAAATTAATAAAATCCTTTTATTTGAGACCAATCTTTTGCTGCCAGGGAAAAAAAAGACCAAGCCCCCCCCCTCCCAAATTTAAATAAAATTAATAAAACCTTCCACTGGATTGTTGTCGCCCCCCCCCCCCCCCCCCCATACCCAAACTAACAAATTTTGCACTTCAAATGATTTTTTCTTATTTGGATGAGTTATAAGTGGATTAGTGAATGCTATTTGGCTATGGATTTTCACTGCACTGATTGACATAAACAGGATTTTCTTATTAGAAGTATATTTAAAGGTTAAATTTTTATTACGTTATAAATTTAATAAAAGTGCAAATGTGGAATTTTTTACTAAAATAAAAGCGTTTATTGTTATTTTTGTGCATTTAAATTTATTCGATTTCCGTAAAATAATAGAAAATAACTAAGAATCCGAAAGTATTTAAATCTCTTCGGTTCTTTGGAGTTACAGTCAGCCAAGCTCATTCTTATATATTTTATCGCAAGTGCGTTTTGTGCGTATTTTTTTTTCTGCTGAAAATTGGAGTGAAATAAATTTGCAGTGTTAATTCGGTTGGGTCATTACAATATTAATATAGTTCAGAGGCGAGAAAAAAAATTACTGGTTGCGAGCATTTGGATAAGGAGGGGGGGGGGGTGGGGAACAAATGGGGTTTCTTAGCAAGTCCGTTACTTGTATGAATGTCTTGTCACGTTTTTTTGAAGGAACCTTTACGAAAAACTGTTTTTTAGAGGTTGTTTGATTATTTAATCGCCAGCATCCCGTAGGAAAAAGTTAGGATTAGTCCATGAATTAGATATCTTTTAACATAAAGAAGTACTTTTAAGATTTACAGAACTCACCCAATGCCAAGAACAACACTCACAGACTCTCTCCCCTTGCAACACACCTACTTTCTATCATGCCCCTGACTACACAAGGACTGAATTCAAAATATCGCAACTACAGGACGAGGGAGTTCTTAAAAAATGGAATGATAATAGTAAAACGTCCCACGGTTCCTGAAGGTGACATATGTCACAGCGAGATAAACTACATCTGATTGACAGATGTCACAGCGAGATAAACAACATGTGATTGACAGAAGTCACTGCGACATAAACCAGATTTGATTGACAGATGTCACAGTGACATAAACTACATCTTATTGACAAATGTCACTACGACATAAACTACATCTGATTGACAGATGTCACTGCGACATCAACTACATCGCGGATTGACAAATGTCACTGCGACATAAACTACATCGTAAATTTTAATGAATGTTCGGAGCACTTAAAAGTCTATTCTGTGTATAACATGTCGTTATGGGGGAGCAAAGTACACCAACGTGGATTTAGCCTATTTTGGACCGAGCCAGATAATGCCGGCTTCAATGCATCACCGTGGAAAAAAAAGATTATGATTTTCAGTGCCGATAAGGAAATAATAAAACTGTCGTTTTTTTTTTTCTCCTTACTTGACCATCGCTCCCTTCTCTCCTTACCTGACCATCGCTCCCCGACATGAGAAGGACACGAGGCTGACGCAGCAGGTCAATTTTTTTATTACCTCGCCCAGGAGTCTGACAGTGATGAATAGACATCTAATCGCCGATTCATAGAAATGAAACCAATCTGTGGCCAAATCAAAGTCAGCCAGGACCAGTATATCAAGAGCAAGGTCCCGAAAATTATACTTAATTTATATCGTTTTCTTAGTTTTTGCTTGCGATGCAAAATTTTGTGAGACGCTTCCCTTAAAGACGAATTGGTTTCCGGGACTATTTTAACTTTCCGCAAAAAGACTATTCCTAATGACTGCAACCATTCTGAGCCGATTCTCTATGTTACTATGAGCAATCGTACGCCTACCGGAAATAACATTTACCCATGAATGGTTTCAATGTAATATCATTTTTTGGTCTAA